ATTAAACATACTAAAACTTTATTTTTATTTTTAAAGCATGGAGGATTAATTTTAGGATATTTCTTCTTTCAGTGCCCAGGAACTTTACAATCTAGTATTGAGACTGTTGGCTTTTGACTTGGGTCCAAGAAGACACACTGATCCTTGAAGGCCGCCACAGACGCTTCTTTAACTGCTTGTAGATGTAGTTTGTTTTAACAGCTCCTGATGGCAGTATGAGTGTTTGGGTATTGAAATATGCACCAACCTTGACCTGGTGCCATCCCTTAGCACTCAGGAGGCTAGTGTGAAAGTAAATGCAGAGTTTCTAGTGTGGATATAATTTTCCTTCCATTGACCTTGACTGTGTCCTTTTAAGTTCCTCAAAATAATTGTGTGCTAGTGCAGAGAATACCCTGAAATGATCTGTAGGGAACTGATTGAATGAACTACATATTCTAGGCCAAGCTGAAATTATCCACTATTTGAAGTCAGAGCAGAGCGTTAATGCAGTGCAGGTTAATAGATCAGTGAAAGCTGTTTTGTTAGCTCATAAAAAGGTGAGAGAACTAAATTTTTATAATGAATAGTTTTGCTGAGCAAACAATATATGCAGTTATTACAGACTTTGGAAAATAAACGATTTTAGACTAATGTCGGGCTCTAGATCCTGATGTGGTAGTTGAGCCTTGAAAATGAAAAGAATGAAAAACCTTCAAAATATTGTTGACACTCCGGTGTGAAAGCACATGCCATTTAATTCATTACTGTACTTTTCAGATAACATTTATGATTGTAGTATTAACCTCTGGGTATTTTCGTATTCCTTAGGCAGTTGGTCTGCAAGGATTAATTTTGTTGGGAGGGCTGGGCAGCAGTTTGGAGAGGAGCAGATTGAACAGACTCAGTGGCAAACGTGTTCCAAAATGAGACCAGCACAGACAGTCAAGACCCCGCCATCCTGGTCCCGGTCTGCAAGTGCAAGTAGCTGCACTTCACATCTTCAAAAGCCCCGATCACATTTAAATACCTTGCTGTTTGTATCTTTGACCTTTTAGAAAACATGCCCCTTGAAAAAGTAAATCACAAGCCAACAGACTTTTAAAATAATAATATGAATTTTTTTCCTGTTCACTACATCCCTTGTTCTCTTACTGTGGTGTCTGGTCCATTCTGTGAATGAGAACTGCAGCCCCTCTGGGTCCTGCTGTCATCAGGACACCTGGTGTTGAAAAGCTCTGCCCTTTAACAGCAGAGCTCAGTGTTGTCACTATCATTTGAAAGCCTTGGAAATATGAGCATTGCTTTCGTAATGAAAGGTAAGTGCAGTAGTTGTTATCACATTCAGTATTTTGGTCAGTTTAGCAGTTGCTTAGTAACCAAAGTTAAACCAACCACAAGATGGAAAAACTTGAAATTTGTTTCCAGAGATTGCCTCAGAGTGCCGAGAAGGCACCTTCCTGTTTAATTGTGACTAATTTTTTATGAGCGACTTAAAACCTTTTGGAAATGATGTGTTGTTTTCTGAATATTAGGCATACTAACGAGCGTCTAAAACCATTCACTGAGAAGGCTCTCAAGCCCATGCAGGTTCCCAAAATCTGGCAGGAATTAGACGCCACTTCCCAGCCACCGGCGGGTCCCAGCCTTGCTGATCCAGCCTCTGGGAACCCCTCTCTTCTCTAGCCTTGGCTTGTATCTAACCCAGTACTGGCTTCTTGGCCAAGTGCAAGACCAGGCAAGGATTGAGAAGTGACTCAAAACAGGCAAGAGTGGGACAGTGGCTCCCAGGCAGCCACACCTCTACCCCTTATCTCCAGACCCCCAGGACCGGGGACTCCCAGAGAATAATAGGTGAAGCTCTGGAGAGGATCCTTCCTGGTGGCGGAATTATCACTGACTCCTCTGGGGCCTGAGGTCATCCCCTTCCCTCTTTCCTTCCTTCACTTAACAAAATCCATTGAACACCTGCCGTGTCTTTCTTCTTCAGTTCATCCTGAGAGACATAGAGCAGGGCCTGCCTCTCTGTTCTCTCCCCATAAACTCTTCCAAAAAGAGTAGCTAGTCCCTCCAAAAACAGCTAGACCTCAGAAGAAAAATTCTCTCTGGAAGACAGACCCCCAAACCCAACAATGTATGTGATCTGAAGTAAAACAGATGGGCCTTGGGTACAAAACAAGCATGAGACATATACTGGAGGAAACAAGGGAAGATAATAGCAACATAAAGCAAAAACAAGGAATAATTTTAAAACAAATGATGTAGAAATAACAGGTATAAAGAATAGAATAACTAAATTAAGGAACAAAAGAGAAAAGATAAATTATGAGATGAGTACAACTACAGTTGGATATTGAAGAACCGTCAGAAGGCAGAAAGAAAGGATAAAGAAAGGCTGAATGGAGGACAATATCCAGATGATAGTCGTCCTAAACAGAGCAGAAGAAATATTTGAACAATGAGGATAAATTAACCAGAACTATAGAAAGATGAAAGGGCTCGTCAAGGACCCAACAGGAGAGAGAAGGAAAAACCCTCACCAAGGCAGGCGCTCAGGATCTCTGCTCACTCAGCCAGGCCATTCCCCATCCAGCTGCCAGGTTCTGCAGCCAACTCCCATGATCTGTTCGAGAGAGAAGTGAGACGTTGCCTATAAATCTTGTTTCAGATATTCAGCAGCTAAACATTTCCGTCCTTCTCTTGTAAATATGCAGCAATGGCAAGATATGCAGGATCCACATCTACATGTGCCTGTCCCATAGCCCCTGCCCAGGGCCAGGAAACTTGTAGGTGTCAAAAACGTTCATGGAACGAGCAAGTGAATGAGTGAATGATGCAAATAGCTGGGGAGGTTTGCCATGTATATCTGGATTTTGTAGATACATGAGTAACTGATTAAGATCCAAAACTTTAAAAGTTGGGGAGGTTTGCCATGTATATCTGGATTTTGTAGATACATGAGTAACTGATTAAAATTCAAAACTTTAAAAGTTGTGATTTGCTGTAAGAAAAGTTTGTTCGCTTTGTTTCATCTTCTATCCAGTGAAGTTTGCACTTCAGCAGCAGGTTGTCAAAGTAGCAGCTTTCTGTACTGTCAGGTATCCTTTTCTGTCATGTTTCAGACCCTTAACACCTTTAATGATTTTTTACCCTTCGTCGTCATTAGACTTTCTTTGGTGCAGCAGGTTTTTCTATGAGATCTTGGAGGTTTCCATTTCAGATGATGCGGTGAGATGTTTTGTAATTTAAGCCTCCCCTGGCCCACCCCCTCACACCCAGCATTTCACTGTGGAGGCCCAGTTGGGGTGTTTGTCTCCCAGAGACACTGCCTTCTTCATGAAGTTATCCTAAAAATAGCTTCATTTAACTAGGCCATTTTATTAGTTGTTTCGGACTTTTCTCAGACCACTCTGAAAGCAGGATACTATTTCAAACAGATACAGTGAGCCTTGAACCTGATCACAAGGCATCTGTTACCCTATTCAGGCTGCTGGGCGTTGATAAGATTGCCTCAAATCTCATTGTGCAGTCAAAGGCTAAAAAGCCTGGGGAACAGCAAATGGCAAAAACCAACCAGCCAGGGCATGAATATAGTTTGTCCAACTCTTAATATTAAGGGTGGATGGTTTGGACCAGGGAAGCAGGTTTCAGGAACAGAAGAACCCTCCAGTTGGGCCTGTCCAGGTGCCCCAGGCTATCCCAGAGAACAGACTGACCCCTCGCTGGCAGGACAGGCTTCATTCAGAACTCTGGCCTCCAGCTCAATGTTAAGCCCTGTGCAAGCATCAGAGATGAGGGCAAAGAAGACACACAGACAGGAAGCGGGGAGAGGAGTGGCTGGCCTATGCTTCTCCCTGAGAATGAGCCACTGGGAGGATTTGGGAAGGGCAGGGGGCGGGGGAAGGAAGTAGGAGATGCGGTTCCCAAGAGTGAAGGGTGATCTAGGCAGACAGCACAGGTCGAGGCTCTTTAGGGGCCCACAAGTGGTAGGAGTTGTCAGAATTCCAGGTCATGGGGATGGATGGTGGGGCCAAGGCGGGAGGTGGCAGGAGCTTCCCTGTTGAAGGGGCCAGGTGTACAGCATGAGGGGGTGGGACCGAGTCCTGTAGTCAGCAGAGAGATCTCAGGTCCATGTAGAGTGTGGAATCAGGATGCCCTATCCTAGGAGGAGGGGGCCCTGAGCCCCACTGTGGATCTGTGCCTGTAACAGTCCATTTCATCTTCCATAGCGTGCTAAACCTTCTTCAGCTCCAGACAGGCTTGGCCTTGGCCTCCTGACAGGGGCCATCATCGGGACCTGTCTGTGGAAGGTGTTCAGTTCTAACCTCCCATAGACTTTTGAAATTAACCATACTCTTCTTAATAGAATTCTCAGTATTCTCTCTCTCGCAATGTTATATGCTGGAGCCATGTGATCACCTTCAAATTACTCAAGGAAGTACTTTCAAAACAAAATAAAAGAGAGACAAAAAGCACCGGGAAACTCCCTGTGTGTGAGCAGGCCAGGTGATGATAGTGAACTCAGGTGGTTTATAGACAGACTAGAGAGTCCCCCAGCCTGCGTTCCCATCCTCCCCTCCACCTTCTCATGGTTCTCTCATTCCCAGTAAACTTCTACTCAAAACCCAGTTCACGTGTCACCTCCTCTGAAAACTTCTCAGATTTCCTCCCTCAAGGAGAATTCATCTCTCCCGCCTTTGTTTTTCGAGAATACTCTGCTCAGAGCTTTATTCATTCTCTTGACACTGTATTTTATCTTTTTTTGGCTCTCTCTCCCTGACTAGATTGGGAGCCCCTCAAGGGCAAGCTGGCCCTCCCCAGCTCCCATGCAAGGCAACCTTCTCCTGATGGACAGCGGTGCCCCCTCACAAGTCTATGTGGCCTCTTTCTCCCCTGACACTGGACACTGGGGCCTCTGCCCGGCCTGTGTGCCTTTGGGTTATTCTGAGTTCAGAACCATGGGCATCCCCCTGAGCCTGCCTTGCTACTGACTAACGTGCTCTCTCCCTCTCACCTCCTAGGGCCGATGAAATTGAAATGATCATGACGGACCTTGAAAGAGCAAACCAGGTAGGATGTTTAATGGCTTAAGGCACGAAATCATAATAGTATAGCCATTTCTGTTGTCTTAGAAGATGCTTCTCTCAAATTAGAAGGCCAGTTATTCTTGTATTTTTTTTTTTTACATATAACTGTCAGTGTTGATACCTTTCCTGATGTCATGAGAAATACACAAAAAAATCACAAATTATTTCTTTGGCAAAGTCTTTTATCCCAGACATCCCTGGTGAATGTCCACTACGAAGTGACTACTTTACTTCATGTTCTTTTTCTTAATCCATCTCTTAAATATCTGCCTCTGTTCATGTTGCAGCCATTATGCTATAGAGTTTATAGCAATGATTTATATTATAGAGAAGTCTTTATCACTCCCTTCCACTGGGTTGAAGCAACTCGTATGGAAGGGCTTCTAGCTGACAGCCCCCTCTTGTCTGGTACTTAGTTGGCACAGAAGACTTGCGGGAACTACCCAGCACAGTGTCCAGCACAAAATCGGCACCCAATATATTGGGTGTCTCTAAATACTCAGCTGCCTGGAAAATTTGGCCACCCTGCAAAAGAACCCCTTCCTTCCCCAGTGACTCCATAGAACAATAAAACATTTTGCTTCAGCAAATGGCTCTGCTGCTTTGGAAGGAAAGAGGTCTCCACATTTATTTTATTTGTGAGGAGAAACAGCCAAAGCTATAATGTTTCTCAGCCCCAGAAGGCCACAGGCTATGGCCTCCCCCGACTCAATTTTACAGCTGGGTAGCCACAGGCATAGGAAAGTTTAGTGGTGTGCCTCAGTGGTCCAGGCAAGCACAGCCTCCTGCAGGATGAAAGTCCCTCCTGGATCTGTGGTCTCTGCTTCCCACCTTGCAAGGCACCTGCCACAGGGCATCTGCCCCCAACTAGTATTGCTTACCCAGGCACTGGCAAATGCTCAGGAAAGAGTATTCTTCTTGTCTGTTCTTTGGCCAGTAAAATCATCCTGAAATCTGATTGAAATGTGAAAGTCAGTTTATGCGTAGGAATGATCTTTCGGGGAAATGTGGATTTCTTTTTTCTTTAAGGAAAACTTTGTGGGTTCTGTGTTGCATACCCAGACTCACTACTGAGGATCCTGGGCCTGGTCCGTAGAAGATGCTCAGTAGAAATGCATAGAATGAAGCACTTAAGATAGCATCATTACGTATTAGTTATCCTGGTAATAGGAAGAGCTGCCGATTCTTGAGTAACTTATTTTGTGCCTGGCTCTGTTCTCAGCACTTCACATGAGCGGAGTCACTTAAACCACACCAAGCCCCCTGAGATCAGTGCTGTTATGATTCCCACTTTACAGATGAGGAAACTGAGGTCTGTGGCTAGCGAGTTGCAGAGTCAGGACTGGAGCCGATGCTCTTCACCAGCACACTGGGAAAGAGGCTGCAGAACAGGGGCCCCCTTTGCCTTTCTTTCACAGTGTCTCATTTCCCAAGTGCACCCGTCCACACAGCTCCTTGCTGTAAAGCACTGCTGCTGCTTCGCCTCACAGAGGTGCTTAAGCATTTATTTGCCTTTACTTGCTATACTTGCTAAATTAATTTACCTTGGTCCCTTTGTTTTTACTCAGTTAGTACTATTCAACTCTGTAGGGACCTTAATTCGGAAGTAGTTACTAGAAGGACTTAACCTCTGTCACACAGTTGCCATTTGCATTTCTCAAATTTTCACCCATTCACTCTCTCCAAGGCCAGTCACTGGGGTGCTGCCTCCCCTTTTGATGGCACTTTGGCAGCGTCAGTGCACTTCTCAAAGGGCTGAAGGCTATTTGGGTGTTTCTCAGTCCTAGGAAACACCAGGCAGGACCAAAGAGAAAGGTGCCACCTCCAAAGTGACACTTGATTCAGGTCCCAACTTGGTACCCCCTGCCTGTGGGGCCTTGGACAAGTTTCTTGACTACTTACATTTCTTTTTTAAAAAAGAAAAGAAAAAGATGAGCTTCAAGGACATAATGCTAAGGGAAATAAGCCAGTCACAAAAAGACAAACAGTGTGTGGTTCCACCTGTATGAGGTTCCTAGAACAGCCAAAGTCATAGAGACGGAGAGGAGGATCTTGGTTACCAGGGGCTGGGTGAAGGGGTAGGGAGTTGTTTCATGAGGACAGAGTTTCAGTTTGTGGAGATGAAAATGCTTGTGGAGATTAGTTGTACAACAGTGTGAATGTGCTTAACACTAGTGAACTATATGCTTAAAAATGGTTAAGATGTTATATTTTGTGTTACATGTATTTTACCATAATTTTAAAAAAATTTTTTTAGTTGTTTTAGAGAAAGGGAAGGTGGAAATGATAACTAGTACTTCTTTACAAGATCGTTTTGAGGATTAGATGTAAATGCCTGGGTAAGAAGTAGGTGCTTACATAAATATTCATTCTATAGTTGCTGAAGAAGCATAGATTTCGTAGAAGTATAAAGTCTTGCCCTAGAGAAATGGTGGGGGTGGGGAGGGGCACAGGAAAGCTCTAACCAACAACTCAGGGTGAGTTGCTAACCTAATGTGGCTGCCAAAAGAAATGAATGCAGTTTTGGGCTGCATTAATAGGAATAGTTTTTAGAATGAAGGAGGTGGTGTTTCTGCACCATTTGCAACAATTAGTCCATCT